TGGGTTTGCGCATGTGGCGAGACAAGGTGGGAATATTATTGTGTGCGTGTAGCGAGACAAGGCAGGCATTCACTTTACTATTGCACACGTGGCGAGACAAGGTGGGATATGTCGGGGATTGAATTGTGATGACTTGTGATGGCCTGGGGGCATTGTTGTTGTTGCATATTTACCTTTGGGACTACGAGACGGTATCTCGGGAGTGCCTTTGTTGACATTCTCTATGGTTGCATTTGTCCTCAATTATTTTTGTATTTCCGTGATAGGTAAATTATTGTGTTCTTCTGTGATATAATATTTGATTTTATTATGTGTTTGTATCCCTTGTTGTAATGTGTTGACTTTGGCTCTTGTATGAGACTTTGAGGATTTGTGGTTCTAGTCTTTACTAGTTTTCAAGGTTAAGTTATTTTGAATAAAATAAATTGCTGTGTGCTTTAGTTCTTATAAGTTTTACATCCCAATCAGCAACTATCGGGTGCTTCATTTTAATTAAAATGTTATTTTCTTCACCGAAGTGATTTCTAAAATAAATTCATTTCTTTGTTGATTTTCTTACTTGATTTAAAAATTTTAAACTTACTTTATCGGAAATAAATTAATCATGTGGATCTTATATACATTGAGGATATTGGCATGTGAATTATCCGTGCAATTTGTGATATGAAATGAGGGCACGAGGTGCCGAAAAAATATGATAATTTAATTATGGGCACGAAGTGCCGTGGAGATATGAAAATGGGTTGAGACCCGTATTTTTTATGATTATGAAATGAGGTGTCACATGGTGACTTTTTAATTGAAGAATTATATTCAAAATATTTATTTGGAAGGATTTTTATCTAGAAAGTATTATATGAAAGAATTATATTTGAAAGAAATTTATTTGAGGAAAATTATATTTGAAGGAGAGTTAGTGACTTGTCTCCGCTAGCCCTCGATCAAACTATCAATTGAATAAGAGAAGAAAGAGAATTATATGTGAAGGACATTTATTTGAAAATTTTGATTTAATTGAGTGTACTTGTATTTATTATTTATTGAGCAAAATTAAATGTTGTTTTGATATCTTATTGTGCATATCACTGGTTGTTTTATGATATCCCTATTGTTATTTGTTTCCTATTATTTTGTATATTATATTGCACATGTTATTAGACTAGTGAGTGTCTTGACTGTACCTCGTCTCTACTCCATTGAGGTTAGTCTTGATACTTACTGGGTACCGACCATGGCGTACTCATACTACACTTCTGCATATTTTTGTGCAGAGCCAGATAGTGAAGATAACGGACTTGAGCAGAGTTAAAGCGGGATCGTAAGGATTCAAGGTAGAGCTGCTTGGTCGTCGCAGTCCCTTGGAATCTTTTCATTTCATTGTACTGTTAACTTGTAATCAAACAGTATTGTATATTCGGTCCTCGTGATCATTCTATGTATTCAGTTAGAGTTCGTGACTCACTACTACCAGCCTTGGGAGGTTGTATATTCATATTTGTTTCCGCTGTTAGTTTTGGTTACTTATTAAAAAAATGGCTTAAAAAATATAATGAAAATCGATTTACCTAGTCTTAGAGACTAGGTGCCATCACGACTCCTGCGGTGGAATTTTGGGTCGTGACAACCATCTGGCCTTCTATGCTCATAATGTCATCTCATATGATGAGCGGAGCTCATTGATGCATACAACCTCTTTAACCTTGGTATAAGGGGTAAGTAGTGCATCACCTTCACCGAGATCTTCTTCTTTTTATCATTTGTGGCATCCTTGTAACGAGGCTTGTTACAAAATTTACAGTTCTCTAGAGATGCATCTTTCCTTATAGAATAACATGCAACCATTCTCACGTCAATAAATCCTCTCTTATGAAAGACCCAACTTGGAAACCAATTTGTTTACCGTTTAGAAATCTTTGGGTAGGTCAATGTTACTCGGAGTAAGTTAATTCATAAGCCCAATGATAGAATTCATGCCCGATTGAGAAATAGAACCATCCTACTTAATCTGAAGTAATCGAACAGCAACAGACAACTTGGAATGCACTGAGCCTCCATACAACCGACAACTAGCTTCCTCTAACTCTTTGAAGAACTTCTTAGCCTCGTCATTTGGTTCAGATTGAGCCCCCGGGAACATCTCAAAGGCATCCCTCATCATGTCATTGAATCTAGAATTTTCACCATTATTCTCCACTACAAAACTACCCTCCTCACCACTAAAAGAATTATGAAAATTAACATCATTTACGCTATCAAGATTCTCCCCATGAGCAGTTCACACATAATAATTTTCATAAATCTCTTTTTAAAAAGATGACATAACATCTTCTCCCAATAACTTAATACACTTGCATTTCACACAAGGGCACCTAATCGTTTATTCAATACGAAAATTATCAAGTGTCCTTGGCTTAGCAATAAATCCAACAACCCCTTCTTTAAATTCATCTCTTAACCCCACACGATTAGGATGATTCCTATTATACATCCATCTACGATGCACAAATGCCATCTAGACAAACAAAAAAAAACTAGAAGTTGATATATTTATTTTATTTATACTAGTTACTAAGTTATATTCTCCCAAAGGTTATCTAAATAGTTTAATTATATATTTTACTATAATACTTGGATAGTTTCAATATTAATAGGTACATTAAACTATTGTAAGACAAAAAGTCCTAAAACATATAAATTAATCTAATTTATTTCAAAGTAGCATATGATAGCGCTCTAATACTTAATTGACTGCATTTTCTTCATTTTGTTCCAATAATAAATAATATAACTAACATATAGATAGGGCATGGAGAATTTCCAATCGAAAAGCTGAAACAGAGAAGTATTAGCACTTAAGTTGTTCTTAACTAACCTAACTTGAATGTATAAAAATTCTAACTCTTTAAAATATTATTCAACTCTAATAAAGAAGTATTAGCACTTAAGTTATTTTTATATAACAAGAATTTCATACTTGTAGAAAATACCCAAATTATTCTAATTTTTTTTTCTGATTTACTATTGGATACATACAAGTATACTAGCTATTTTCACAAGAACATCTAACTAAAAAGAAAAAAAATAGCTAATTAATCTAAACGAACAAATTTTTAACAAGTCACTATATACATACTATATTGCAAAAATTATTGCTAATTTATCCATACTATATTACACATTATATAGCTAATTTATACATACTATATTGCTAAATTAATGCAAAAGAAAAAAAAAATTACCTGGAAAAGAACTATCGGATCTGCTGTCGGACCACCACCACCGGAGGAGAGAAGAGACGCCGGATCCTGCACCAAAAACGAGTTAAACAACTTAGGAAAATATATCAGGGGGGGAGGGGGGTCGGCTGGATGGGGGAAAGGGAGCGGGTGATGGAGGGGGAGAGTGGGAGATAGGAAAATTGTGGCAAGGTACCTAATATGGTTAGATTAGCGAAGAAAATCAAGAAATAGAGCAGGTGGGGCAGAAGAGGAGAGGGGAGGAGAGGAAAAAAAATACTAGAGAAGAAAGAAGAAAAAACGGGTGATGGGCTGTATTAAAAATAGATTTGCGACCGAATCGGTCGCAATTTGAAATTTGAAATTTTCAAATAGCGATTGATTCGGTCGCAAATCCGTTGACCAGACAGACCTCGTTTTTATTGCAAATTCCGACCAAATCGGTTGAAATATTTTTTTTATTTTTCACGACTGATTCAGTCGGAAACCTCAAAAAATATTTTTGCGGTATTTTTCGCGTAATTGAGCGACTGAAAGAGTCGCAATTTGGAGCCAAATTTTTTTTTAAAAAAATTTAGCATGTATTTTAATGAAGTTTCCGACCGAATCAATCAGAAATTGTGGCTGCATTAAATTGGCCAAAAATATTCAGTCAGTAAATAGCTATTTTTACTAGTGAAATCATTTTTTAGTTAAAAAATAAAACATGTTTTAGTCGGCATTTCATGTCCATAAGACCATATCAAAAATATTTACTGACATTTACGTATTGTTTAGATGGTTGTTACCCGTCGTATTGTATTGTATTATTACCCTAGGTACAATATTTGTTTTGATTGTTAATATAAAATTGATTGTATCGTATTGTTAAATCTATTTTTCGGAACAATGAAAGGTCCCATTTTATGAAACAACCAAATCGATGTGGTGGGATTGTTCCGTATTTTTCTTTTCAATTACGCCCCCACTTATTATTATTCTATATTTTAATTTTACCCGTTACCTTATTATTTATATTATACTTCACCCAACTACATACTTTGTCTCCATCCTTCTGCCATGCATTATTTTGGTTAATTTTCCATATCATTTTTTCTTTATTTTATCGCATCGATGATCTTTGCAAACTTTTTGCTGATTTTATTAACATATATAATTTGCTTAGGTTTCTGCCATTCGAAACTACATGTATTTTTTTCCCAATGACCATATATTTTAATTCTCCTTATTGTGCTGCAACTATATCTAATTTTTTACGGGGATATGAATTATTATTTGTTTTTTTGTATGAAACGAGTTTGGTGCTTTCGCTATTATGGTAGAATGGTGATTCCTTGTGAGGAAGACGGGGATAAAAATAAATTATTTTTATGAGTAAGTCTTTAAAAGTTTACTATTTAAAATAATTGAGGGTATTTTAGTAAACTTACCAGTACAATACAGTCAAACCAAACAATAAAGATGTTATTTAACAATAGCAAACGATACAATCTATCCAAACGTTGTATCCATCAAAACGATATAATACAGTATAATACAATACAACATATTATAAAAGGATAGGTAATAATGATCCAAACAGAGTGTTAAGTTATGTACATTAACTATATAAATATGGAAAATTAAATTTGTTATAGAAATTTTATATGTAATTACCTTATAATTGTCACAACTCTATTCTAAAACTGTAAGCCAAACAAAAAATAGCAAGTGCATTTAATGGAAGGAATGAATGTTGTTTATTGTAATTCATGTACTGAATAATACAGTACTATTTTTTGTATTTACCTTGTGGAGGAACCAAACAATTCTGCATTCCGTTAGAGTGGCAAAAATACAAAAAGATGATGATGGTCATGCCGATAGCAACATTTTGCAGAAACCAGAAAATTGCTTCTAACTTGAACAATGCAATTTTTGGGTTATATTTGTAAAAAGCGGCGCAGCAGATGAAGAAAAGGGTTATAGAGAAGGAACTTTGTGTCATATTCCCCATATCAGGTACTCAATTGCTAGTGTTTTGGTACTCTCGTTATCTTGGTATCTTTGAGAATGCTCTTTTATTTTGTCACCCTGTGGGTTTATGAGTTTGAATTTCTGTTGTTACTTTTGCTTTTTTGTTTATTTTTTATTAGGAATCTTTGAGAAGGATTTTTAGTTTTAGCTTTTTCTTTTTTGGTTAACTTTGTAAACTTAAACTTGCATACAATTTCTCTGTTTCTATGACTATGTGAGCAGGGGTGGATGTAGCATTTATGATACGGGTTCGGCATAATACTGTAGCTTTGGCCCAAACTCCTATACATTTGTTAAGAAATCCATTAAATATGTACAAAATTTTTGTCCAGAACCCCACTTGATGTCATTCAGAACCCATAAAGTTCAAACCCTGAATTAGCCTCCGGATATGAGTGTATCATGGAGCTTTTATTATCTGGGAATCATTGTTAAATTGCTCATTTTTTTGAGCCGGTGGACTATAGTTGTTGCAATCTATTGTTCTGTTATGGGGAACTAGGAATCTTGGGAAGATTATTAGATGGTGTTGGTGATAGCTGGAATAAGTTTAGTTTACTGATCATTCTTCTTGATTTTAGTTAACTCTTTAAAGCAAAAATCTGTTAATATCTCTTGTTCGGTGTTGTGATTTTCGTAAGAAAATGTTGCTAATATTGTATAAATGATTATCTGTGTTTCAACATTATATGAAATACAGTGGATCAAGGGAGAACAAGAAAAGATCACAGTGGGAATGTGATTGATTTACGGCTTGTATATGTTGGATGTTTTCTTTTATTTGTTGCTTTATTTATTTAGTGTTAGTAAGAAGTTCAGACTTCAGAGGGTATTTTAGGACCACCATCCCCAACAAACATGCCCACACTTCACAAAGAGAACGCAGTAGTATGAATTAGTTTGTTGCTTAAATACGTATCTGAATCAACTCTCGTGCTACAAACTTAAAACCCATGACTAGAATTTCAAATGTTTAATCAGATGTGAGATATTATTCACTAGGCCTTTAACACAAACCACAGAGTGTGTATGCACTTAGAGAGCTATGCCTGGACTGTATGCACATTATGAGTTTTTGAGATTCTTGGATTGAAGATCAAATGCTATGGCCAAGTGGATAGTTTTCCAATATTAAATAGCACATTATTTTGGACCATGAGTTCCATGAAGCTATAGGTGGTTTCTTTTCCATTTGATGCAGGTGAAAACTAAAGCCTTTACCCCTCTGAAGAAAAGTTTTTATCCTTCTATCATTTGTGATTTATCTACTTTCTGCTTTCTAACAATTCATCTACCTCTCTAAGGAATTGCTTGGATGGAATCTATTTAACTCATATTTCTTTGGGTTTTTTCCTCTTCCTCTTGACTTGAGAATGTTTGAGTCAAATCTTACTGATGTCAAATGGCCCGCTTACTCGTTTCTGCATTTGAGTGTCTTGCGTGGTGCAATGCACAGATTGAACACTGAGTCTTATTCTGTAAACGCATCATTAGGTGGTTTTCAGCATACACATGCTTATTAGACGGTAAACACTTACCCGCACTGGGTTTTTACACCAAAGTGATTCAACTTATCATGTTTAAGTGGCTTAATGAAGTGAAAATATGCATTAGTTCACCATAGTAGTGTATGTTCAAATACATGTTCTGCATCCATTGGTTTGGTGTAAAAACCCGGTATGTCTAGGTTTTTACCCTTATCAGACTGTCCTTGCTCCTGTTCGAATCTTGTTTACCTTCTGGTTTTAAGAGCATACAGTTTTTTGTTGTAAGCCTGAAGGTTCCTTTAATCTTAACCTTCGATTTTACATTTACTATCATGCTAGTTAATGCATAAATGAAGGATTTGATATGTAGTTCTATTTAACGAGATTTCCGCTATATTCTCATGGAAAAATATCCTTATTGCTTTTTGTTCCGCCAATACTTCCCTTTGGCTTTTTTATTTGGAAGACTTAAGGATCCTCTGATGGTCTTTGGTTCATGGAATACTTAATGTTTGTATATGTAGGAGGCCAAGACAGTAGTTGCAAGATGGCTAAGGCCGGAGGGGCCAAGTTACTATAGAACAGTAGGACATTTCTGTACGGGGAAGACCAAGGGCCTAAAAATTTTTGTAGTCAAAAGAACCTATCTTAAAAGTCTGTATTAGGCGTCTCTGGTTTGACTTGTGTTACAAGTAGCAAGGATGATGCTGGGTAAAGACTATTGATGGGATTCCAGAGAGCACCTACCTTGTTGCGGTCTTGCCAAGGCAAGGAATCACAGATGAACTGTCGCAATATAGTTAAAGGTATAAAGTTGAATTCTTGTTAGTTCAGCTTTTGATGCAGTTAATCCTTGCATTGATCTGTTCAAATGTTAGGTGGCTGTATTTTAGATTTTGATGGTGTAGGCAACTGCTAGGGGTTTCCTACTACCACCCAAGAGGCCTTTGTGTTTCCAATAGATCAAGAAAGAGTCAATCTTGATGCAGCTTACCACTTGTTTGATGTGAATCTAGTTAGGTGAATGCAAGAATTTCCCAACATCTGTTAATGAGCAAAATGGCCATATTTGTATCCTTTGGTGTTACAGCTTGTCTTTACTTGCCATACAAAGTGTTCGGAGTCCTATTACTTAATCGCACTTTGTGCTCCCTTTCTTTCTGTAGTTGAGGAAATCTTAAACTCCTTTGGACTTTTTTGTTAACTTACTTTTCTTGTTTATTTATTTTGCAAAGAAAAAAATAAAAAGAACTCTAAGAGAAACTAATTCATATATCTCATAATAAACTTTGCAAACTATGAAGATCTTACTTTCTTTTATTGGACCTTACCTTTAAATCTATCACTCAACAGTTTTTTTAAGTATTTTGTCGACCTTATCAGGACTAAGAGCATTTTCATTTCCTGTTATTTATTTTCACAAAAATGGGGAGAATATGTGTCATTAATTTCTTTTGTGTTAGATATGCATTTATTAAAGGTTTTTGGCAGATCGTATCCAGACTATATTTTTCAGCTAATGGAACAGTAGTGCTTTGGCTACACTTTAGCAAATTGCTTTAGAAGGCAATCCAGACTACTTTAACTATATGTAGATTACGTCTCCAGTCCAGATATCGCAAGAATCGGGTCTATGCTAATGAATATTTTTACATTCCACTTAAATGCATTTGTTTGCCCTAATCATCATTTTGTTTCAGCGCCTCCATTTCTCCTTCATTTGCACCTCTCTCTCTCGGGGGCGCGCACACACACACACCCCTCGCCTGTGTATTGCCTTCTTTTACATCCTTTTCTGCATTCACTCCTTCGTAAAGTCCTATCGTTAAATCCTAGGTTGGCAATCACAGGACAACTTCCTATACTCTTTTTTTCCTGATCTAGAAAAGGAAAATCATCGCAGGCAATCATTTTTGTTATCTCTATCTTTTACTTTTTTACCAATCTCAGGAAGAGTCCGCCATGATTTTTTAGAGAACTTGAAGCGTTTCTCTCAGATTTTACTTCCATTTCTGTTAGAGAAACAAAAGGAAACATCAGTATTTTTGAAGTCCTACTTCTATATCGCTTTATCCTTCAGTTCAGGATTGATGGCTAAAAGAAGTAGAGATGGTTTTATACTTGCCCTTCTGTCTTTTATTTCCAATTATTGTTATTCTCTTTCTCTTACATCTGCTTTTATAGACTGATAATTTTACTCACACAAAATTGTTGCTTGGGCTACTGTTTAAGTAATTATTTTTATGCGAAGCCTAGTTGTATAAATTTTTTCCTGAACTTGTTATGTCGTAATTGTTAATGAGCTGTTGTTCAGAATACACAAATCCGATATTGGTTTGTTTTTTATTAGTTTGTATAATTACAACCGTAAATTACATCGCTAAAGTCATTGGTTGGTGATGAATCAAGTGTAATCAACCCAATGGTTGAAAGGTGAAGCAATGTCCAAGTAACTGTTTGGTCTCTTCTCCTAAGGGCTTTTGCTATTTAAATAATTCCTTTTCCCATGCACTATTCCCTTGTACTTTATTTGGATTTGGTGGTTGAGAAGAACCAGTGCCTTCACATCCTGGCTCTCCTCAAAAGCAATAACTAAGGGTGCAATTAATTCTAGTTATAACTCTATTTTGATTCTTGTGGTGCTCTTAGCAGTCAACACTTCCTGCTTTGAAAATTATAACTCTTATTAGATTCACCAGACAATCAAAAATGCTTATTGTCGGAATGGTAAATTGTGTCACGACAGGATTTGGTAAAAAAGGAACTGATGAGGAACTTCCAAGTCAGTCTCGCTCAAAGGAACACCCACGCACATGTCAAAAAAGAAAAAGTAAAAAAGTAGCTGCTGCACTTGATTCAGCTGTTCTGCTACGACGTTCTGCTCGCCTCCGTGGACTGTCAAATAAAAGGAATGGCAAATCAGATGGAAAGTTAAACTCGACTGACTTTGACTGCTACCTGGAGTAAGTTTGTGGGTTCTGTGTGCAAAATTATGCAAGTATATTTATGTTTGCCAGTTTCTGTTTTGAGCATAACTTCTTGGGGTTATGTAGGAACATATGGAGGGAACTACCAGAGGATAAGAAAAGTTCATTTGCATACCTTGAGTCCATGTGGTTTTATTTATACACAACCAAACTATTCAAGCCTAAGGTGTTGAGGTGGATTAAGGGGCTAGACATATTCTCGAAAAAATATGTTTTTGTTCCCATCGTTCTCTGGTATGTGTTTCTGATTTGTTATCTGGTTATGCCAAAGTTGCATATAATGTTTTTAGTTGTGCTTTGTATACTGAGATGTTATTTATCAGGGATCATTGGTGTCTTTTGATCTTTTGCCATCTCGGCGAAAGTTTAGAGTCAGAATCCAAAACTCCCTGTATGTTGTTACTTGATTCACTGCATATGGCGGGACCCTTGCGATATGAACCTGAGATAAGAAAGTATTTTCCTCGATGAACATACTACCTTAGGATTTTTGTTTTTCTAGTTAATTTACTTGTATGCTTTGTTTTGTTTGATTTGTAGATTTGTTTTGGACATTTTCAAAAATGAAGAGAGGCCAGAGAGCCAGCAGCTGATTAGGAAAATCAAGTTATTGATTCCTAAGGTCACAATACTTTTCACTGATGTTTCTGATGTTACTTACTAATGGTTTCTCATTTAGCATGACTTGAAAATTTTCAGGTACCGCAGCAGACAAATGGTACGGACTGCGGTAAATTTGCTTTGTACTACATTAGCCTTTTCCTAGAGAGCGCTCCGGAAAACTTTAGCATTTCTGAAGGCTACCCTTACTTTGTGAGTCCTTTGTCAAACTATATCTATCATCTTCATATCAATATATCCTCTAATCTCATAATTTTTTCTGCTTTGTAGATGAAGAAAGACTGGTTTACTACTGACCAGTTAGAAAGCTTTTGGCTGGAATTGCCCACTCTGACCAAGGATTCTGAGGACATGAAGAACACAGCAGTCTCTGGTGAAAGCTTCTCAGGTTCTGAGGATGCTATTATATATTTGGTATAGACATTGTGGGTAAGAAGTAAAATAGAGAGATATATTGATACTATTGGAAGGACAAGTAACTATGGGTCATTGGGATATTTAAGATTGTCTCTTTTGTTCTATATTCGCTCTTTTTTTTTTTTTGGTGCTTAAGGGAAAAAATAGAAAATGAGGACTTCTACATTGTTTGCACTAGAAACAGAGACAATCTGTACTAGTCTTGCTCAACTTTTGTTTAATGCAAATTGAAGTGTGTGCATGTATGTGTTCAGGGTATTGCCAGTGTATTGTGTTTTGCTAACCTACTGCATGGCTGTAGTAAGTTAGAAAATTCTTCATCTTTTTTCCCCTTTAATACTCATGTATACGAAGTTCATCTAAGGGGATAAACCGCTCCTACTAAGAAGTTTTTCATTCCCAGATATTGAACCAGTGATATAAGGTTAAGGGTGAAGGGATACCAATTACTTCAAACACCCAATACTAAACTTAGTTGAAAGATGTGTTTATTTGTTTTCCTTTTTTTATAAGCACCTGTTTGGTAGTTCTGCAATCTTTTGAGCATCGTATTGTTTCATTTTGAAAGAAGTATATGCAGTTTTGTTATACAGTCAAACTTTCTCTATAATAGCCTCGTTTGTTCGGAATTTTTTTTGGCTGCTATAGTGAGGTGGTGTTATAGAGGACATATAGTATAACATAAATATAATATTTGGTTCCGAGAATAACTCGGCTTTTATAGTGAATGGCTATTATATAGGGATGCTGTTATAGAGAGGTCTGACTGTAGCAGTCTTTTAACTTTGGAATTGATGTACGGGTTGCTAAAGCATTAAAAAGGGCAGTTTGATGCACAAAGCATCCTGTATTTATGCAGGGTCTGGGGAGGGCCGCACCCTAAGGGGGTGTATTGGAGGCGGCCCGTATTTAAAAAGGATTGCTAAAGCATTGCATGATATTTTCAATTTGCTTTTAGACTGGTAATCATATGTGGTAACATACAAGATCATCAATTTTGGATACATTGGCTGCACTTGACGTCCCCTCTTCATTCTAGGTGCTTTTCTTTAAAGGATAAATTCTAGCAGTGATCCACAGTCTGCTTCCCAGCTACAAAATTTGTTAAATTATCTCCTCCAAAGTCGAATCAACCTCTCATTCCCTTCTTAATCTCAAGCAGTTCAACTTATAACTCATAAGTCAGTTTTGCTTTCTCGCACAACGTGCTCCATCTTAGTCTCTTTGGCTAGTGCCAAAAGGCGAATCCAGAATTTAAATTATATGAGTTCAGTTGAACCCGTTACCTATATGCTACATACGCCCCTGCGCGCGTAGTGCCCTCCAAGCCTTGGAATGGATAATGGATTGCGTCTTCTACATCTACACATCTTCTTGTCTTCCTTATAAGATCATTATGGAGTATACTATTAGTTACATAAAAGCTTCAAGCAAAGGTATGCAGATATATTATTTGTTAAACATAAACCTAAATCATTCTTGTATACCGATAGTATACTATTTGTTAAATATAAACCGTAAAAGATTGGAAAATAGCCACTTTAGGTTAGCTATTAGAGTTTAGCTATAATTTAAATTATATTGGCAAAGTAATAACTCATTTATGCGAAAATATAAGTCTGGACAGAAATACACTTATTTAAAACACAGAAAACTCCAGGAATATTCCTGGACTTTGAATATTTATAAGTTCTAAATCAAGGAACTATTTTCGAAGTTTGAATGACGTGAAGCTGTAACTCTCAATTATTGAAGTATGACGTGAATTCAAAAATCATGCATCGTTCCTGATTTTATGAACATATTCTTAAAAACTTTTAGACAATTTTAGGAAAATCATATCTTTTTAACTAAATTAATTTGATGTGATATTTTGTTAAAATTATTTCATATACACCAAATAATTACTCCCTTCATTTCACTTATGTGACACTTTTTATTAGTCCATTTCAACCAAAATGATACGTTTCTGTAATTAAAAATAATTAAAGTTTAAATTTTCTATTTTAATTATTTTACTATTAATGAGAAGCTTTTATAGCCACATACACATAATTTTTGACCTTTAAGACAACAAGTTTTAAAAGTCGTCTTTTTTTTAAACCTTATGCCGAGTCAAACTGTGTCATGTAAATTTAAACAGAGGGAGTATCACATAAAATATTACAACAGATAATTGAAAGAAAGAAAATTTCACCGGCTAATCTTTTTTTTAAACCTTATGCCGAGTCAAACCGTGTCATGTAAATTTAAACAGAGGGAGTATCACATAAAATATTACAACAGATAATTGAAAGAAAGAAAATTTCACCGGCTAATTTTTGTGTAATAATCCAGAGTGAAAAACGAAACTCCTAACTCCTCGAATTTGTTAAATGATAATATTATATTCACTTCTGAATGCAAAATTAATACAAAATCAACAAATTATATTTAGGCAAAGGTTTAGCTGAAATTAGGAGCCAAATCCTTTTTATAGGCAGTGTCACGATCCAATTTCACCTATAGGTTATGATGGCGCCCAACATCACAGCTAAGCAAGCCAACTAGTGAATCAAACATATAATTATTCCGTTAATTATTTTTCGAGTAATTAAACTCTTCTTACTTGCAAGATTTAAGAAAAATATAAAAGGTTCTAATTAAATAAAACCAAGAAAATACTTAATCCACAATTCTACTAGTATGTGTCAAAACCTTGCGTCACAAGTATAGGAGCATCTAGTAGATTATACAAAAGAAATTCAAAATACTGTCTTAACACAAAATAGACAGAAAACAAATACAAAGGGAGACACTAGGTGCTGCGGAACGGCTCAGGGGAAGCAGTTCACCACTAGGCCTCGGGATAGCGTGAGCGCGTACCGGTAGGACCGTCTAAGGTTCCTGTCTTAGATCCCGCACAAAAAGTGCAGCAAGCGTAGCATGGGTACGTAAACAACGTATACCCAGTAAGTATCAAGTCTAATCTCGAAGAAGTAGTGACGAGAGGTCGACTTTGACACTCACTATGAGTCAATAATATTAAAATAGAAATATTTAAATAGACATGGTTTATGTGAATAACAATAATTTTCTTAACAAGCGAAAATAAATAATTCTTTCAAATTCAATAATTTTTAATTAATCATTTATCTTCACAAGCTCCAATAAGATGTCAAAGTATCATGTAATTATTATTATTAAGTACGATTTCTGCCGAAGTCATACAGCCTGATCCAGAGTGTCGTGTATACTGCCGAGGGATGTGCGGCACGATCCATAGATGCATCTATACTGTCGAGGCGTTCGTCTCGCTCCACAAGAAAGGAGGACATTTTCTTCTGAACCTCCAGAATGAAAAGTTATTATAAGGCTAACACATAAGGATGTACAATTTCTATTAACAGTCAAGTAATTTGCACAAAAATTCAAGTATGTGAAATTTCGGTCTTTTACTATTTTCTCTAACAATTTTCAATATAATTCCAGTACTTTAATTAAATAAAGGATGTAATTATTACAAGTAATTCATGATTTGAGTCCTAAACTACCCGAACATAGCATAATTAGTAGCTACGCATGGACTCTCGTCACCTCGTGCGTACATAGCCCCCACAATTAGCAACAATATTAATTTAAATTACCTATGGGGTAAATTCCCTCTTACAAGGTTAAACAAGAGACTTACCTTGTCTCAAAGTTTACTTCCCGATCACAACGTCGCGTTAAAGCCTCAATTCGGTGCCGAAAAATCTGAAACTAGCCAAAGGTTATATAAAATAATTAATACATTCTTAACAATTCGAAATTAGAGTATTAGATTAATTGCCCGACCCAAAATGGTAAAATTTCTAAAATTCACCCGGGCCCACGTGCCCGAAATTCGGAAATTTGAGGAGAAAATCGTCACCCATAACCTTATGAACTCAAATATACAATTTCCATCCCATTTCATAACCATTTTCGTGGTTAAAATCTCATTTTTCTAAAAACCTAAGTTTTCATCTAAAACTTTGATTTCCATAATTTACATATTAAAATCTACCCATAATCTATGTATTTAACTCAATATAAGTAGAATTAACTTACCTCCAAGTTGCTAGGTGAAAATCCCTCTCAAGAAGCTCCAAAATCGCCCAAGAATGGAGAAAATGGGCTCAACAATGGCTGAGCCCCATCTTAAGACATTCTGCCCAGTGATTTTTCACTTCTGCGGCTCGACAGCCGCTTCTGCGGAAGGGACCTCGTAGATGCGGTTTTCCCCTTAGCCGGCTCGTCCGCTTCTGCGATCAGCGGCTCCCTTCTGCGAGACCGCTTCTGCGGTGCGTGCGTCACACCTGCGACCTTCGTCCGCTCCTTCGCTGCCTTCCTCGCACCTGCGCCATCGCAGGTGCGGTCTATTTCTCCGCTTCTGTGGTCACTGGCAGCCCCCCTCTTGGCCGCTTCTGCGGCTCGTCGCTCGCTTCTGCGACCTTGCACCTGCGGCTGTCCATGCGCAGGTGCGGTTATAACAGAAGCCAGAAGTTTCAGCCATTGCTCCTAAGTCCAAACTTGTCCGAGCCTCGTCCGGTTAACACCCGAGGCCCCCGGGGCCCCGTCCGAACATTCCAACAAGTTTGAAATCATAACATGGACTCGCTCGAACCCTCGGAACGCATAAAACAACATCAAAACTAAGAATCATACCCCAAACCAAATTGATTCAACTTAGAAATTTTAAATTCTTTAAACTTATTCTGAACGCGCCGAAACATACTTAAACTACTCGGAATGACACCAAATTTTGCGTACAAGTCTTAAATCACCATACGGAACTATTCCTAGTCTCGGAATTTCGAACGGACCTCGATTACTCCAAAACCTACTCCAAACCAAATTTAAAGAACCTTAGACCTTTAAATAGCTGATTTTCAATATTAAGAGTCGAAACGCTCCCGGATTGTCCAAAACCCGATTCGAACATGCGCCCAAGTCCAAAATCATCATACGAACCTATTGGAATCGTCAAATCACGATTATAGGGCCATTTTCTCGAAATGTTGACCGAAGTCAAACTTGGCCTTTTAAAACTAAACTAAGGAACCAAGTATTCCGATTTCA